TTCACTTAACAACTGCAATGATTCACTTAACAACTATGGCAAAAAATGTTGTAAAATTGGGCATGACTTACTTAACAACTAGCTTGCTTAGCAACAGAAATTCTGGTCCCAACTGTGGGTTGCAAGTCAAGGACTACCTATATTAGAATTTCACTGTTATAGTGCCCTTTCCTAACTACTAGCTCCCTCTGAATATCTGTTTGTTTGTTTTTTCCCTAATGGATTGCTTTGAGCTTGTTTTAAGATATTATAATAAACTTTGGAAAGAAATATATAAATATACAGGTAAACACATAGGATTTCTAATAAATCTGTACGGTATTGGAAGAAAATTAGTAATCTTTTTATTTATTGATTTTGATACATTATCAACGTTAGAATTTTTTGAATGTTCACATGTGACTAGAGAAGGACATTTTATTTTTAAGGAAAGATGCAACTGATCTTAACAACCAGTGAGTTTAATGAGCAGGGTGTGTAGAATTGCTTAAACACATGTTTCAGTGTTCTCCAATTCAGATTTTTGTGGGGTTGAATCCAATCAGACTCTTAATTCTAAAGTAACATGCATGAAATCATTAGGACTAAATATTTTCAGTTTAAAAGTTTTGTGTGAGAGTGCTGAAAAAAGAAAAGATGAAAAAACCCCCACAGTTAATGGATGTGCCACAATAGAGTTGAAACTGTATGTTGCACTTTTTGTAGTGACAGCCAGTGTGTTTTGCCCTTTGAAGCCTGACATTTGTACTTTATTCTCTTTATACTTGTAGTGAACAATTTGTGCTGACAATTGTCAGGACCTTTCGATACAAAAAGTGGGTCTTTTTAAAAGCAATTTCTCCTGGAAGCACACGGCAATATTTTATAAATGTTAAAAAATGAAGCCTAACAACTTTCACGTCAATTAGTTGAGATTTATGAACTTCGATCAGAACACATGGAAGGGCCTGATGCCAAGTTGCAGAGCACCTCCAGGGTGTCACTTCCTTCCTATATTTCAAATCAACAAACGTTCTGTCAGCACCTGCTGAAACGCAATGAGGCAGAAGCTCCCTGGAGTCAAACACATTTAAACATGCAAACAAGTAACACAAGGGAAAGCTTTTCATTTTTCAGTCAAATTTATCTTCAGATTCACCCAAGTCCTTACTAAAAATGTTGGAAGGTCAGGGTTTTCAGATCTTGATTACGTTTTTGTGCAAAAATCACACTAATCCCCCCCCCCCCAAGTATCCTTAACCCTGTGTGAATTATAGGAAAGCAAATTTTGGTTGAAGGTCAGGAAAAACTTTGTAAAACAAGCAGTTTTGAATGGGATCAATTATTAGAGCCTTTAGCTGGATCTTGTCTGAGCACAGGCTAGGCAGCCAGTTGTTGAGGATGCTGTGTGATCTGGGTCTCATCACCTCAGTGGTGTCTTCCAACTCTATTATTCTATGAATCAGGGAAGTATTCAAAAAGATTGTGGGATGAAAAGCAGAGTAAAGTGATTTGTAAAAATAAAATGTGTCTAGAACTATTTACCCTGATTGGATCTCCTCCAGATGTCTTGTATTTCAAGTCCTATGATTCTTACCCTATATGGCTAAGGTGATGAAAAAGAGTTTAAAACCTTGTCTTATTGAAAAATTTAAATCACTTTTCAAATGTATTTTGCCTTGTATCCAAAGAACTCCAAAAATAATTCATTCAGTAAAGGAATTTCTAGTGTCAGCATTGTGGCAGAAGTTGAATTCTCTGATATTCTCTGTTTGAAAGCTCTAAGAATGAACCAAAACAATTTCTAAACATGCTTGATTTAAGAACATAGAACCATAGGTTGAACGAAACAGGGGAGATTTAAGTCAAGTGGCTGTCCCATCAATCTTTTGTAGAACAAATATGGAGGAACCTAGGGCATCTTAAATCTAAGATATTTATTGTGCTGCAAACGTTTTGTGATTCCATCTAGTTCTAATGGAAAAAGTGGAAAAATTACACAATAATTTCTTAAATATTTAAGTGTCACATAATCCTTTATTGCTTTTTGTTTCTGTTGCTATTAAACCAATTTAATACATAATGCCCAAGACAAAATGACTGACAGATTTCATATGATACAAAGTGTGTTTAGCATGCACTGAAACTGCTAACAAATTGGACTTGTATATATGAGGATTCTTGGTTCTTAATTTTCCTTTCCAAATATGTTTCAGCATATAATGACTAAGTTCACACATTGCAGCTTTCCCTAAAGTGTGAACTTAATCAGGTAAGAGATGAATTCTTCTGTGTAGCCAATGAACATTCACACAGATTTGAAGAACCTAAACAAAATTATGCTTTTGAAGTGTGAATGCAACTATATGGTAATTTATTTGTGCACTTTCCCTGCAGGAACTTAATATCTTTTATCTTTTGAACTCCATTTCCATTTTATCATTTATTAAATTTATATGCCACCTCTCTCACTGTGAAAAGCTACTCTCATATTGTGGATGATGGTTTATTGTATACAGGTAGTTCTTGACTTACAACCACAATTAAACCCAACATTTCTGTTGCTCAGCGAATCGTTTTTTTAGTGAGTTTTGTCCCATTTTACGACTTTTCTTGCCACAGTTGTTAAGTAAATCACTGCATTTGTTAAGACCAGTTGTTAAGTGAATCTGGCTTCCCCATTGAATTTGCTTGTCAGAAGTTTGCAAAAGGTGACCCAGTGGTGAAATGTAAAATTTATTACTACCGGTTCTGTGGGCGTGGCTTGGTGGGGGTAATGTGACTCAGTGGGTATGGCCAACCTTTTTTTTTAATAATCTGGTGATCACATGACTGCAATGTTGCTGTAATGGTCATCAGTGGAACCTGGAATTAAGGAGAAACTTCATAACAGTGAGGAAAATTAACCAGTGGAACAGCTTGCCTTCAGAAATCGTGGGCGCTTCATCACTGGAGGCTTTTAAGAAGAGACTGGACAGCCACTTGTCTGAGATGGTATAGGTTCCCCTGCTTGAGCAGGGGGCTGGACTAGAAGACCTCCAAGGTCCCTTCCAGCTCTATTTTATTCTAAATTCTAAAATGTGGTCATAAAGCAGGGGTGAAATCCAGCAGGTTCTGGAGAACCAGTAGCGGAAATTTTTAGCAGTTCGGAGAACCAGCAAATACCACTTCTGGCTGGCCCCAGAGTGGGGTAGGAATGGAGATTTTGCAATATCCTTCCCCCAGGAGTGGGGAGGGAATGGGGATTTTCCAGTATCCTTCCCCTGGAGTGGGGTGAGAATGGAGATTTTGCAGCATCCTTCCTCTGCCAAACCCACCAAGCCACGCCTACAGAACCGGTGGTAAAAAAATTTGGATTTCACCACTGTCATAAAGCACTTTTCTTTTAGCGCTCTTGTAACTTAAAATGGTCACTAAATGAACTGCTGTAAGTTGAGGTCTACTTGTATTACTGGCTGCTGCAACCCATAGAGCGGCAGACTGATTGTAAAGAGCTGAAACTGAACAAATAAGACAGAATTTCTCAATTTTGGCAAACTCTGGGAAGTGAAGTCCATGCCCCGATTGAGAAACACTGAAATAAACAGTCAACACCTGCCTCTATAGGCTGTGGAGGGCGTGGTCCCCGCTTCCCAAGAAATCTGCTTGTTCAGTCCTATATGGAAGCCAGTGGTGGAATTCAATTTTTTTTACTACCGGTTCTGTGGGTGTGGCTTAGTGGGCTTGGCTGGGAAAGCATATTGCAAATCTCCATTCCCACCCCACTCCAGGGGAAGGATGCTGCAAAATCTCCATTCCCTCCCCACTCCAGGGGAAATATACTGCACAATCCCCATTCCCACCCCACTCTGGGGCCAGCCAGAGGTGGTATTTGCCGGTTCCCCAAACTACTCAAAATTTCCACTACCGGTTCTCCAGAACCTGTCCGAACCTGCTGAATAGCACCCCTGAGGAAGCGCCAAAACTTGGAGGAAGTGAAGTGAACCCCCAGTTCGGACTACCAATTCATCCCTGTGAGGCATACAAGAGTCTGGTTGAGGCACCGCCAGCTTGCCCAACGAGACCCAGGTAGACGCAGCGAGACGGAACAAAGAGGCAATGTATGCCCCGCAGAAGGCACGGAGGACCGGCAAAGCTGGGCTGCACCTAAAAGCCCTAGTAAAGCCTGCTCTGCCCTGGATCAATTACCTACCCACAAAGCAGGGGTGAAATCCAACAAGTTCTGGAGAACCAGGAGTGGAAATTTTGAGTAGTTCAGAGAACCGGCAAATACCATTTCTGGCTGGCCCCAGAGTGGGGTGGAAAGGGAGATTTTGGAGTATCCTTCCCCAGGAGTGGGGTGGGAATGGAGATTTTGCAGTATCCTTCCCCCAGGAGTGGGGTGGGAATGGAGATTTTGCAATATCCTTCCCCTGGAGTGGAGAGGGAATGGAGATTTTGCAATATCCTTCCCCCAGGAGTGGGGTGGGAATGGAGATTTTGCAGTATCCTTCCCCCAGGAGTGGGGTGGGAATGGAGATTTTGCAGTATCCTTCCCCCAGGAGTGGGGTGGGAATGGGGATTTTGCAATATCCTTCCTCCTGGAGTGGAGAGGGAATGGAGATTTTGCAGTATCCTTCCCCTGCCACGCCCACCAAGCCACAACACCCCTACAGAACCGGTAGTAATTTGGATTTCACCACTGCCGCAAAGGCTGTGTGTGAGATGACCCCTCACACGCTTCCCAACGTAACAATTGCAACGGCCCCACCACGCGCAAAGCTTGCTAACTAAGCCATTAACCCCGATTTGATTCCCTCAGGGTAAGGTTACGAGGAGCAACCAGAGACCACCGAGCGGAGGTAAAAGCCCGGGGAGCCCGCCAACTACAGTACCCAGCAGGACTACATTTCCCATCAAACCTTGATGAAAAGAGAGCGGGGTAGCGGACGGTTCCTCCCCCCCAACCCCCACCCCCCTCCCTTCTCTCCCCCTCCCGCCGAGCGGCACGTGCCGCCCTCCTCAACCAATAGAGGGCGTGTCGGGGGGCGGGTCACGTGCTTTTGTTTGGCGCTTTTGTGGAGCAGGCAGAGCAGTTAGGCGCGGAGTCCGTCTGTGGTGACGGGAGCAGGTGGGTCGAGGCGAAAGCTGGGTGGGGAAGCGGGGTAGGGCCGGGCCGGGGTGGCGTGGCGTGGCTCCGGCGGACGAGCGAGCGAGCGAGTCTTGCCTTCGCGAGGAGCGAAGGAAAGCCGGTCCTCGTGGGGCATGTGGGCGACTGGGGCCGAAGTCTCAGCAAAAAAGCCGTTCTGTCTTGGGCGGCTCCGTTCACCTCGGCGGGCTTAGCGGAGGCTCGGGGGTTGCGGGAGAAAAAAAACAACAAAAAAAACGGGACGCGACGTCAACGAAGGACCAGCCGCTGCGAGACTTGGACGCTCGGCTCCTTCTGCCTCCAGCTCCGCACGGAACAGGTGGCTGCCCCGGCGCCGTTCCCTCAGGTCGCTCTCCCGGCCCTTCCTCGGTTTGACAGAAGTGGAGCGCTTTGATCCATTGTTCGAGGGGAAGGGGCGGCGGCGGCGGGCGGGAAAGTGGGGGGGGGGCGACGCCGCCGCCGCCTTGCCGCGCGCGCTGGCGAGCTTCGGAAGGGAGGGGGCGCCAGAGACAACACCCGCCTGGCGCGCGCCGTCTCCCTCCGCCCGAGGGTGGGGGGAAAGAAAAACGCTTGAGAGAAAAAGGGTGTGTTGGGAGGGGGGGTGCGAGAACTGAAAAGAGCCCCCCCTCCCCTCCACTCCAGCAGGCTGAGCATCCAGAAGGCAAAAACCAAAAAGAGTTCGTCCCGCTCGATTTCTTCTGGCGGGTCAAAGGAGGGGGGGGCTCCCCAGGGGAGCGAGTGTGTGGGGGGGTTAGAAACAGGGAGGGGAGCCCGAGCGGCGGGTGCCCGGATGTTACCGTTGCAAAGTCATCCCGCCCCCTCCCCTCCGAAGGGGATTAGTGCGCGCGCGCGCGCTCCTGGCTCTTTTTCAGGCGGTTTGAATTCGGTGCGTTCGAGAGCGGCGCGTGGGGAGGGCGGGGCTTCCTTTCTCCTCCCATTCCCCCTCCCTTTTTTTTCTTTTTCCTTTTTTTTAAAAAATCTCTTTAGTTATGGGGACTGCTGTCTCTCGATGGCCCCGCCCCACTGAGGGGGCAGCGGTGGGGTGCTTTTCTCCACCCTGTTCCTTCCTCTTCAATCTTGGGCGTTGTTTATCTGGCTTTTCTTTAAACGGTGTTTTTTTTTTTTTAATTGTTTCTGCCAAAACGGGATAGTCCCCCACCAGTGCTGCTTCCCCCCCCTCCCCCCGTTTATTGTATCATCGCACACCTAGGAGCCTAAACCATAGGGGTCCTTTTATTTCATGTTTTTTGCTGAATTCCTGCTTTATCTCAAGTCCTTTGTGTGCATGTGCTTAAAAGAGACCCAAGAGCAATGTGGTTGCTTTATTGATGCTAACATAGAACAAACACTGTCCTACTGAGGCACCCTTTGTGCTTTTTTTTCCAAAAAGCAAGAACAATGGCATTGCTGATCTCTGGCTGGCAGGTCATTAGAAATATGCATTTTCTTGAGGGAGATCTTCAGGAGTTCTAATTTGATATGCAAAGCAGGTTTGATCATCCTTGATCAGTGCCCTAGAAAGTATAGACCCTCTTAGTTGATAAGTGTTTGTGTTAGAAATACATTTCCTTAAGTACTTTACCTTATTTTTAGGTGCTTTCCCCTGAGTTAAATAAAATAACCCCCAATGCCAGCATCATGTCTGGGGCCCCAAGCAACAAGCCATTCAAGGGGTCTCTTCAATCTTAGGTATATTTAAAGAGAAAGCTAGTATGTCTGCCTTTAAGAGCAACTGTGTGTCAATATTTTACTGTCTAATTGTGAATTGTACTGTGCTGCATTCTTTGTTACTGCTACAAAGGAATTACTTCTAATTTAAGAAAAATCAAGCTATTTAAAAAACTGAATATATTTAACTCTAATCTTCTAATTTCATGTGAAATTAATGAGGAAATAGATATCATTTTAGCTAATTGTTTAACCGGCATAAGTGCTGTGCTTTATGTTAAACAATAAAATACCCATACTGTCATTGGTGAGAATATGGTGATGATAGTGTCTCAGGAAGAACAACCACGTGGTACCATGTCTTTGTTCATTCCACATAGACATGTTACCACTACATGTTAGTGGATCATGAATGGGTCTTAAGGTGAAAAGTAGGATATAGCAGATATGACCTAAGCCTGAGTATTCTAGTTTGATTACTACATTCCATACTGCTTGACATTTTTATATGCATTACCTCACATGTATCTTCTAAATTTGAAAAACAAGGGCTAGACTCTGGTAGAAGATATAACTTATCAATAATGCTTATTATTTAGAATTATTTTAAATTGTTAAATACTGAGATCAGTCATGTTAACGGTACTGCATATTTCAATTTATTTAAGGATGTGTCTGCTTTCTTAGGGCTCATTTACTGGAGTAGCTGTAATACTCTTTGGATATATTCTGTTTAGCCATGGCTTCTTCTGGTAAGTATTAGCTTCATTGTATTATAATGCATCATAATTGAATAAGAGAAATGTTTTCTCAGCATTTAGAAAAAAAGTCATAAATTATTTTTAGTGGATGTTATGAGTCATCCTTTGATTACAGCTATTTCTAAAGAAAAATTGTATTTGCAAGTAATGGAGATATGTATAAATACATAACTGAAAAATAGTGAGTGATGCCTAATTTAAAAGTTTTTTTTTTATTCTCTGGAGGTTAATTTAGCATCTAAGGTTAAAAGTAATAGTTCTAAAGCAATTGTAATTAATTATACTGAAATGGTTAATGTAATCCTTAAAAGTGTTGCAGTGTTCTGTTTTAAAATTATGTAGGACTATTTTTCCTGAATATGCTGCAGTACTATGTAGTTAGGTATACAATAAAGTTATAAACATCTAGTTTTCTGTAAGGAATATAGCAATTTTTTCTTTGCACAAGTATATGGAATTCTATTGATTCCATAAAGTGAAAGGTCCTGGGCAAAGTAGCCACAATTAACCAATATAACATATTTTAAAGTCTGACAAGACTCAAAATGTGGCTCAGAATATTAACTAAACAATATCTCATCTAGACATTCAGGTGAAAGAACTAGAAAAGCGTGCTTCAGGTCAGGCATTTGAATTGATACTGGGTCCCCCTCCAAAAGAAGCTGTTCCAGAATTTCCTCTCTCTCCTCCAAAGAAAAAAGATCTCTCATTGGAAGAAATTCAGAGGAAATTAGAAGCTGCAGAAGAAAGACGCAAGGTAAATATATACTGTTCTATTTTCATATGTGAAAAGTTGATTGTTTAAACTGTAGCAACTAATAGCTGACCAGAAAGGAGTATTGAAAACTACAATTTAGAAATTCCTCATGCTGTAGCCATTTCAGTACTTACTATTTAACTGAATGGGAATTAATAGTTGCAGTTGTGGTGCAAGTACGGTAATTCTAACAAAACTTAAGTATTTTGAACATGGATCCTAAGTTATTTTTAAGAATTTCAGAAATTAGATGAAAATTGTAATATGATTGCAGAGAGTGGGACTTGTCAAATTAATTTGACAAACCATTTATTGGATCATATGAACGATATAAGGGTAATATTAACCTAAGCAAGAACTGTAATTGTATATAGATTGCTCTTAGCTAAATACAAAATGGATCTATATTCTAGTCCCATGAAGCTGAAGTTTTGAAACAACTAGCTGAAAAGCGAGAGCATGAAAAAGAGGTGCTGCAGAAGGCAATTGAAGAAAATAATAACTTCAGCAAAATGGCAGAGGAAAAGTTGACTCATAAAATGGAAGCCAACAAAGAGAACAGAGAAGCACAAATGGCTGCTAAACTGGAACGCTTGAGAGAGAAAGTAAGTGCTGTTCAATTTACTTCATTTAGTAAATTGTAAACTTAGGTTGGCAGTTACACACAGAATAACTGGCAATAATTAGTTCTCCAGATTTCACATAAGAGTTTTGTTTTTTAAAACATTCAATGGCTAAATCCAGAAATCATACATATAATAATAAAAACTAATAATCTGGTTAAGAAGTGGCTGTTCAATTTGAATGCTACAAAGAAAGGCACTGAACTTTACAAGAAGTAAAAATGACAAATAGTTACTGGCCCTTTGGCCTCTTTGGACTGTAGAACTTGGGAAATCATTGAGCATGACTATGAATTGGCTGCCACATGAGGTGTGTTTAATCAACAAAATAGCACAATATCTAATACAGTAAGTTTAATGATAAATAATTACCAAATTTTCAGAAAAATAGAAAAGCTTACCTGAGACAAGTTTGTTAGACAACTTGGTATGGCAACGGAATGTTAACTTTTGGTTAAATCAGACTTTATGTAGCTATTTTCCCCCCAAAAGGAAAACTAGGAAAATACCTCTTTTCCCAAAGACAAGAAAAATTACATATCTTCAATATGAAATTAAAGCAGTGATAGGTAGCGATCTTAATTTGTTTTATTTTTATTTAGGAATAGAATTAGAATAGAATAGAATAGAATAGAATAGAATAGAATAGAATAGAATAGAATAGAATACTTGGAAAGGACCTTGGAGCTCTTCTAGTCCAACCCCCTGCTCAGGCAGGAAACCCTACACCACTTCAGACAAATGGTTATCCAATCTCTTCTTAAAAACTTGCAGTGTTGAAGCATTCACAACTTCTGGAGGCAAGTTGTTCCACTGATTAATTGTTGTGTCTGGAAATTTCTTCTTAGTTCTGGGTTGCTTCTCCTTGATCAGTTTCCACCCATTGCTTCTTGTCCTGCCCTCAGGTGCTTTGGAGAAGATCTTAACCCCCCTCTTCTTTGTGGCAGCCCCTGAGATATTGGAACACTGCTATCATGTCTCTCCTAGTCCTTTTTTTCATTAAACTAGACATACCCAATTCCAGCAACCATTCTTTATATGTTTTAGCCTCCAGTCCCCTAATCATCTTTGTTGCTCCTCTTATTCATTTAGAACACCTATATAGCCATCCATCTTATAACCAACTATGGGTGACTCCTAGGATTTGGGTGGGAGCTTTAAAAAAATTGGTTTGTATTTGGGGGGATTGTATGGATCCCAGAAAAAGTAAGGATGATAGGTAACTAATGATAAAATTTGATGAGAAACTTCTTTTAAAAAATCTTGTTTTTAAAAATGGATTTAACAAGAGCCATGTACAGCAGCAGTAGACATGGCATTGTGAATTGAGATTAGGAAGTTTCCAACACAGTAGGATCAAACCCAGTCTTTCCTCAATAAAAACACCAGTTTTGCAACTGTAAAAATGCTGTAACACGATATACTTATGCTTGATTTTATACTTTAAACTGCTGTGGCAGATTTTACTCCCATCAAAAGCATACTGTTTAAGGCAGTAGCTTTCTTAAACATAGGATAATTTACAAATGAGAATTATAGTCCTCTGGAGCTAATTCTTAAAAGACAGGATTAAAAATTATATATGCAATTTAATATACATATGTATCTTAAAGCTAGCCAGCTGGAATGAAAATTCTCAATATATTATTGAGCCCATCACTACTACAATCTGAAAAAATAGAATATAATCTGTACAGACTTTATCTGTAGATTATTTAAACCCTAGTCCTTTGTTACATCGATAATCAATGTTCTCAGTCTAGTATATTCCTATATTCCATTTACCATCAGGAAATTGCTCACTGAATTCCCCACAGCATAGCCAAAGGTTAGTTGTAATCCAATTTATTTGGACAGTGTTAATTTAAGGAAAAGTACTTTGAATTAAACTCACAATTTGGGTAGAATTAAAATATCTGAAGAACTTATTGTTTTCTCATTTTCTTAATTTTGCTTTCCTAGGAAAAGCATATTGAGGAAGTACGAAAGAACAAAGAAGGAGGCAAAGAACCTGGTGAGAATGAAAGCGACTGACTTCATTCTGGAAATTAACTTCTCCCCTTTGTCTAAATATCCAAAGACTGTATTGGCCAGTGTTTTTTTGTTAAGTTTCTAGAAACTGATGTAGAGCTGTATAGTTAGAACTGACTGTACACTTGATTTGGGGAATTAGAGGGGAGCCCTTTCATGTTCACTCTTTTTCTAAACTGTTGTCTTTCCAGTGTAGCTATCTTGTTGCATTTCTTCTATTCCAGTGCATTTGTTCCTGGATTGATGGCTAGTGCTATGTTCAGCTCTGACATTTTTGTGAACTGAATATGTAGTGTAATGTTCATGCTGAATCTGTTACACTTCAGAATCTGTCAGTCTTAAGATATTACTGTAACCAAGTGATTTAATAAAGCTGCACAATGCTGTTATCACAGGTGAGTGTTTTTGAAACTAGCATTACTACATAAGCAGTTCAAGCATATTTATAGCTAGAATATTGGAATGCAATATTAAAATACCTACAAATTATTACTAAATACAGTGGCATAATATTCCTCAGTACTGTTTTCTGTGCAGTTGCCTATTGTTCTAGGTTTACAATAAGAGCTTTGTCTTCTACCTTAGCAGTTGTCAGCTGCTATTTATTCAAACAACCCAGAACCACCTCCCTTCTTGACTATTCTAGTACTTGCAACAAAAACAAATAATTCCTTGTTAACATAGGATGAATTCAAAGGGATGAAGTATCTCTTAAAATTTAGGGTATCTTCAAAAAAGTTTAGAAATAAAAGTGGCTTTCCTTAAACAGCCCGTAAAAAGGAAACTCTTACCTTGTAAAAACAGTAAAAATAATTGCACTTGTAGGTTCAAAGCTTATTAGGTAACATTTGGTTCTACTGCTTTTACAATTTGATTCTAGAGATACTGTTAAAGTAAGACTAAGCTTAACATATGCCGTCAAAAATCTTTGTATCTTGGGGTGATGACAAAAGCCTGGCATAGTATCTGTTTAACTTGTATCATTGTTGTAGAATGGATATGGGAATTAAAAGCGCCCTCATGTGGCAATAGTAGTGGTAACTATATAGTCAAGAATGGTATGTTGCATACTGGATTATGTTGGAAATAAAAGCATACATTTAAGCTTCAGGAACCCAGTGTGGCAATTGGTTACTGCAGTTAAAATACTTTTTCAACATCTTTAAGCTTTTAAAAGTAGTTTTTCATTAGCTGCAGTAAAGAGAATTGATTGGGTTAACTAAAATTGTGTTTGTAGCCATCTTACCTTGATATGAGAAACATTTATCTGATATTCCATCCCCAGGCCTTTGGATGTTTTAATTAAAATATATGATTGGTGCCAAGTGGTTCATGCTGTAATTTTTAATAGTTTAAACGTAAAACTGCTGTGCATGCCTGTGTTCAGATATATGTGCTTGATCTCCTTGCTCATTTCATCAAAATAATAAAATTTATAATTACCATATCTCTGTATCTTAGATTTAGTCAGTTATTAATAAATAGACTTAATCAAATTTGGTGCACTTTTCTGCTGTCTTTAGATAGCGAATGTTTTGCCACTGTAAAAGCTTCTTAGAAATTTATTGAAAATGTTTGTTGGGTTCAGAAAATGCTATCAAAAACATATTTGAAGTATAGCTATCTGTCAGGTAAATTTTATTAAAACAACATAAAATAAATATAGTACTAAAGACCAAGAATTTAAAAATGAAATGCTTTGATGTATAAATGGTATGTATGTCTACTTGGTAATGATTCGGTTAATTACAGTGAGACTGTAAGTGTTCAGGTAAGTGTGAATCTCAGCAGATAGGGACATCTGCCTGACCTTTGACCTTAAAAAGCATATTGACATCAGACCTTGTTAATACTTGAGATTGTCAAGAGACTTTTAGGCTGCTAGGCTGACTGAGAAGTTAAAAATCTCAGAAAAGGGTAATTGCAAACCATATGTGCATTGTTGCAAAGATAGTGGAAAGTATGTTTCACAAATCTATTTTATTATATTTATGCAGCTACCCATCTCACATAAAAGTGACCCTGAATAGTGTACAACACTTAACGTATTTTTCTGAGTCTAAGACACACACCCCACCCAAGAGGCTGAAAATTTTGGTGTGTTTTATACTCTGAATGTAGCTTTTTTGAAGCTTTTTTTCAGCCCTAACAAGGCGCTAGCGATCTTCCGGTGCCTGCTCCCTCCAACTCTCAGCTGTTTAGAAGCTTTTTATCCCAAGCAGGGGATAAAAAGTGCGCTTGCACTCAAAACCAGCAAACTAATGTGCTGAAGCTGACCAGACTAAGGACGCTAGCCAGATGAATACCTGGTAGGCAGATTTTTTTTTTCCTATTTTCCTCCCCAAAAACTAAGCTGCGTTTTATACTCTGAAAAATACGGTAATTGAAAAACACATAAAATGTTACACAAAACATATTAACCACAATAACATTGCAAAATGTTTTAAGAGCACCTTTGTCTTTTCTAAGCTTTAAATATACCGTGTTTCCCTGAAAATAAGACCGTGTCTTATATTTTTTTGAACCCCGAAATAGGCACTTGGCCTTATTTTCGGGGAGTGCGTGGAGCAAGACGGGGCTCCTCTTGCCATCTTACCTGATTTCGAGCTCTGTCTCCCTAACCCTAGCCAGAGGAAATGGTGGGGACCAGCTGCGCATGCATTTAAATATTTTCGGGGAGGGCTTATTTTCGGAGAAACACGGTATATTCTGTTACTGAAAAATATGTCTCCAGAACTTAATTTGAAACATTTTGCTTAATGACTGAAACCCCCCCCCCCCCCATTTTTGCATCTTTCTGGTGGACTGAAATTTCAAGCAAACCAATGCAGAAGTTAGAGCTTGAATTAATGTGCTGTTGCATTCTGCAATGCGAAATAGGTGAATTAATATTTAACAGGTTTTTTGGGTGGAATGCAAAGCCGCTGGAGTCAGAATATTGAGAACACTTCAAAAAACATATAAACACTTAAGTAGTCTAACATTTTTAAAACTGGCTATATGTTTTGCTTTCTGCATGTGTGCTCCTGCATGAAAGTATGTTACTTAGGGATAATACATCCTGTCATGATACAAGCACCAACATTGCTTCAAGTAAAAAGTGTTGGTTTTCAAATACAAGATTTGTGAATGGGGTTTCCTGTCAGTAGGAAAGGAAGATATTTTTCCACTTTTAATCCATGCTTCCGAATTGGAGAAACATCAGTTATTTTCCTCAGTTGCTTCCTGTCTAAATGCTGTTGTATCTTGGGTTTTACTTAAATTATACCAGGAAGGTTAGAAAACAGAAAGATATTCAAGTGAAATTGCCCTGCAATCTCACTCATACAGTAATATAATGCTTGTATAACTTTGGATCCTAGCCTTAGGAAGTATCAATTTAGCAATAGAAGCCTCTACAAGCTGATGCCACTCAGAATTCTAAAATACTTTAGCTTAATTTGGCCAATATCCACAGCAGTTACTGGACGTAGTCTTAAAACATCTGGGGATAACATTGGAAAAATATCAATTGGAAAAGTTCATTTTGAAAGCTTGGAATACCTCGATGTATTTGAATAATTCTTAATTTGAATTAAAATGTTCTTACATTGGGGAATTGAAGTTTTGTTTCAGAAAAGAAATGAATGGTTTAATTTATAAGCTGTCCATCTTATAAAGGTGACCCTAGGTGTCATGCAATAAAAATAACCTTAAAACTCAGTTTTCTCCTAATTTGCTTGTGGCAGAGTTGGTTTTCCCTCCCACTCGCCCTCTCCCCTCAGCGAAGCAGATAGCTACTGCTTGGTGATGCTATTGATAAAGTTACACTGTGGTTGCCAAAGTTGCACTAGCTTTTGGTGCATTTCCAAGTGCCATTCAAGGTAGTGATTGCTACTTCTGAAAGAGCAATCAGCTTGGGGCTTGGATATCTATAAAACCACCTTTTGTGCAGATGGCCAGAGTGCTGTTTAAATCCAAGAGGAGGAGGACAGACAGCAGGCATTCTGTATGGGGCCCTCCTGTGACAGACAAGGATGGGCTGTACTCTTGTGGTCTTGAAGAAGCTGAGAAAAACCTAGTTCTTTGGAGCGCCTTTGGGTACTGATTGTCAAGTCACTGGTGGTGGCTTTAGTTTTGATATCATTTTCTATTTATAATTGTATAGATTTTATTATTGGTATCTGGGCTGCCTAGAGCTGTCTGGATTGAGGTGGATAAAGTTATAAATAAAAAAATAAACATTCATTCATTCCACAGTTTGCATCTGGAAATGTCCTGGATGATAGGATTGTACTTCATCATCATCATCATCTGTTTCCTATCAATTTAATTTTGATATTGTATTCTTAGGAGATATCCATATATAGAGTCTGCATTTATATTTCTTGAAACAGGTGTTGGGAATAAACAAGGAATTGTCTCCAAAAAATTTCTGTCATTCTATCTATTGCATTACTGTGTTTACACAATCCAAATCTTCCTATAAGTCTAGGTTCCCCCATTCCTCCTTTTGGTTTTGTTCTAACGTTGTCATTGCCTCCAGATTTACTGGTGAAAATCTGCAGACGTGTTTTGTTGTAACAGTTTTAGCCACGTCCGTACAATGTTTACAGTGTTCATATATGCTCACGGTATGTGCGGTATTGGACTTGATGGCCTCATAGTTCCCTTCCAACTCTAAATCTGTGTGTTTGTTTCACAATAATATTGTAGCTTTCCATTGCCTTTTCTGGGTTTGATTTTGAAGCTACTGAGCCCCACTTTGTTTCCTCTTGTACTGTGCACTGTTTCCCTTTTGACTACCTGCAAAGGTGAATCTCCTGCTCCATCCAGCATTCTTTTCAGCATCACTGAAGCTACCAAGACTTCCCACCACATCAGGTGGCAGAAGAAGGTAATTTCCATTGTTTTTCCTTCTGACAATGGCTGTAGCATTGTATCCCAAGTTTACTTGTTCTTTATAGGTTGGTGGCTTCTTCATAAACACTTAGGTTAGAATGGGGTGAGGTGTGTGGAAGGCGATCTGTTTGGTTGATGACTAAAGGAAGGTGTAGGTAGATGAGGGGAAGCTGATTGTGTTGCAGAAGTACCTCTAAGTTCAGTGCCAAAGTTTTGGATGGTAGAATCAGAAGGTTGAATGATGTGTTGGGATTCTTTGGCTTGGGGACCAGCAAAGAGTTGAGATTAGGTTGGTGTGTGGGTGTAAAATAGGATAGGACAGACAAAGCTGTTATGGTGGTGATGGACAAGGAATAAGGCAAGGGAATAAGACTTCACTTGGGGAAAGTGAACTTAATGTCACCTTCCAGTCCCTTTCAGAGAGGTGTTTGCCAGTTTCATGAGTGGCATTAGTTGTAAATCAGGGTCGGGGTGGAGGTGTGGCTATAGTCATCTGAGAAACCCTTGTGGTCTTCAGGCCCCTGCTCCTGGGTATGAAGCCTTGCTTGTCAAACACGGCTGTAGGAATCTAAAATGGTTGTTGCTTGTGTACCAGCTTCTCTGCTGCACAGTAACCTCCCTCTTTACCTGGTCTGCTTGAGTCTGTGGCTGGGTTGGCAGCGGAGTTTTCCAGGCTTTGTGTGGGGACTTCAATTTGTCTTCCTTACTCAAGGGCTCAGAGGCAGCTCAGGAGCAACCGGACCCAGGCAATTTCTGGTCTAATAACGAAGACCTTGGGGCAGCAGCAGTGTGATCTGGAGTTGGGGTGTGTTACATCAATCCTTTGTCATAGACATATAACTTCTTATTGATCCCATGCTTCCAGAGTCTTGCCCAGTTATCTAGGAAGAGTTTGAACCTGTTGGTACCAATCAAGTTATAGGATCCCTGAAACTATAAGCTTGACTATCTTTTAGATCCCTGTTCCTGCTTGATTAAAATCTTCCAGGAAGTAACAGGTGAATGGGTCCATGCAATGGTGAATGTTTTTTCTGCAGGAGATAATGGTTCCATTTGACTTTAGAAGAGATGGTGGCTGCCCCCTGCTTAAGAAACCATGACTAAACACAGTGGGTCTGGACAACTCATCCAGTCTCCACCTTTCTGTTGAAAAGGTGGTCAGCCTGCAGCTCCAGGTGGGTCCTGAAGAAGGAGATTATCTAGACCGAGTCAGAATTTGGGTCTGACCATAGACTGAGATGGCAATGATTGCACTAATTAAAGACCTTTGGTCAGCCCATCTTGGGAGTAATACATTCAATTTCCTTTGATCTCTCAGTAGCTTTTAGTATTATCAGTCTTGGTATCCCTCTGGGCTGGCTTTGGGAAGTAAGAGGCATAGTGTTACATGGCTCTCCTTTCTCTGAGCCCACTTCCAGTCAGTGTTAGTAACATCCTGATGACACCCAGTGGAATATCTCTTCATTTGACAGGTGTTGCTGTCAGTAGTTTCCCAGGAAGCTGTGGCAATTTGCATATTCATTCCTAGCATGATTGGCTGTGGGTTGTAAGACCCACTCCAGTTCTGGGGGTTTTAAAACATTTAACTTTGTCTAGGCATCTGCTTCCCCAGTCAGAGCTAGTACATAATTTGGAGGTCCTGGATTCCTTGAAGAAAGGTAGTAGTCATGCCTAGATGGATATTAGCACATGTTGTCTTGTACACCAACTACATCAACACCTGGACTGCAAGACTTTGCTCATTGTGATTCATGCTTTAGTTCCCTATTTGGATTATGTATTGCATTCTGCATGGGATTGTGAAGCTGGTCCAGAATTCAGTAATATAGGTAGTTTCTTGTTCTTTCCATATAACACCACTACTCCATGAGCATCAACACCTGAAGTGGTAAAAGAGGAAATGAAGAAGAAAGACTCCACAAACTGCTGGCTCCTAGTGTGTGTGGGTGTATATATGTAATTTTTTTTCTGTTAAGACAAGCTGACTGCCTAGAAACTGGACCTTGTAGTTGAATCAGGAATCAACAGTGATGAGTCCAGCAGGCCACTTTAGGAAACAAAGGTACATGGCAATCCCAACTCTGCCATCCAATATTTTGCTGCTATTCCTGTCCATGGTATGTATTGCCAAAGTCCACTGCTTCACCCATGCTTCACCGATGGTTCATGTAGGCCTCCTGCTCAGAGGAATAATGTTGATAGGGACAGGAACTTTGATGTGGATTCTGACCATGTGTCTCTTGGATCATTCACTTATCAAAGCATCACAGAAACTTGGTTTACCAGCACAGATCCAGTCTTCACCCATATTTTGGAATAGCCTTCTCTAGCCTGGCTTACCTCCAGGCATGTTGGTTTACAATGCAGAATGCTCTTAGTCAGCCAATACTTCTGCTAGGAGCCAGGCTGGGAGTGACTGAAATTGGATTTGATTGGACTTGTAATAAATGTTTGTGCCACTGAGATAATTGAACAGATGCCTTTAATATGCAAGTAGCACCAACTTAACTGGAAGCAGCATTCAAAATTAATGGTTAATTTAACTTGTTTACTTCAACCAAATTGTGTGGCTTCACATAACAAAATTAAGTCTAAGCTATACATGGATGGCTTCACAACTTCCCATGCAATATGCAGTTGCCTACGTCTCTATGGAGATTCTCAGTCATCCAGGTCATGATTGTCTCAAAGATGCTTTTTTCAAGAGGCAACTGGACTTTCTGGTTTTTCTTTGAAGACATTTTGCTTCTCATCCAAGAAAAAGCTGAAGTTTCTAGGATGAGAAGAGAAATGTCTTTAAAGAAAAACCAGAAAGTCCAGTTGCCTCTTTAAAAAAAGCACCTTTGGGACATGCAGTTGCCTATTTGATGGTTCAGCTGTTGTCTCAGGTGTGCCTTCGTCTCAAAATCTGGGCAGACCACAAATAGTCCATAAGTTTTTCCACTACAAACATGACTTTCCTTCTCCCTTTTGCACCCCAAGAGAAATTCCAGGTGGACAGACGAAAAGCCCGATCCCCAATTCCTCCTTCAGGATTTGGACCCAAAGGAAGTTCCTGGCCAGCGTTAGTGGCGCTCTCCTTGCCAGGAGGCATAAAACAAGCAGCGCGCCCTGGAAACGCGGCTTGGGGGCGGATGGCGCTGCCTTCTCGCTTTCTCTTCCCTCCGGCTTCCTCACCGGGCGGGTGGCGGAGGGGAACTGTCGGCCTGCAACCTCCAGGGGGCGCAGCGCCGGGCCGGCCGGAGTCCGCGGCGGCTCTGCTTCTGTTTGGTTCGTGCCCGCGCAGCTGCGTGGGAAAAAGGAAAAAACAGGCGAGGCGGGTCTCCCAGGGAGAGGCGGCTCTCTTGCCGCAGAGAGGCGGCCTTGCCCTGCGAGACCGGGGCCCTTCTCCCGTTGCTGCTTTTGTGCTTTTCGCAGCCTTTCGGGTTTCCGACCAGCATCCTCGGGAAGAAGCCAGGAGGAGGTCAGTCAAAAGAAAAGGAGCGGGGGGGGGGAAACAAAACAAAACGGGGAGGGGGCGCATCTGGAGGAGGGGAAAACTGGGACGCTGCAAACCTCCCGGGCTTGGCGGAGAAGGAGGCGAGCGACTTGCTCATCTTTAGACGATGCCCGGGCGCCTAACGCGCGTTTGCAGTCGGGCTTGGCGCCGCGTCCTCGTGCAAACTAAACTCTGAATGATTCCAGCCGGGCGGGTCCAGAGCCGAGCCGCTTGGAGTTTAGCTTGCGGGGTGAACCGAGGCGAGGACGGGTGTGTCGTTTTGGGGGGGGGGTTCTGCTTTCCACTCCGAGGCGAGACCAACTTCTGCTTACCAATTCCGCCTGGGGAGAAGTCAAGGGGCAGCTTCTCTCGAAGGAGGGATGTACAAACAAACAAACAAAAGCAACGAGTGCCGTTTCCCCTTCCTTTGCAGCTCCCCGTCCAGGGGGGCTTCGGCAGGGCTTACTAGGGAATCACCCTGAATTAGGAAAGCAGCATTGTCTGCTTGCCACTTTTGGGGCGTCGGAACTTTCGCCCGTCTGTTGCAAGCTTGTCAAAACTCCTGCCCTCCGGGCGGTGCTGGGCTATAAAGTCTGTTACCCTCAGCGCCAGCCTTGCCATGGTCAATAAACGCGGGTGGCACAGCTACAGTTCAGCATTCCTGGGGGGCAGCTAAGCGTCCTGCTGATACCTTAACCTTTGTTCCAAGAGAGGAGTTTTGGCTCAGATCAGGACAAGTTTATTCTGGGTGGGTGCTGCTGTTTCTTTGCTCCGAGCCCGTTGGGTGTGAGGGGGTTTGAACTCTTGAAAACAGCTTGTGGAGAAGGTTGCTCTGCCTGGCTTTCTGGGACTTAAACCATCAGCCTGCTTCACACCTTGTCTAAGCCAGGTTGTCTCCAACTTTGGCAACTTTAAGCCTGCTGGACTTCAACTCCCAGAATTCCCCAGCCAGCTTTGCTGGCTGGGGATTTCTGGGAGTTGAAGTCCACCAGGCTTAAAGTTGCCAAAGTTGGAGACAACCTGGTCTAAGCTATTGTGTGGTTTAGCCTTAGCCTGTTTGTGTACAATTTTTTTTTTAAAAAAAAATTTGATTTATATGCCACCCTTCTCCTGAGACTTACAATGCGTTAAGCAATAGCATTCATACTTTTGTATACTTTTACAAAGTCAGCTTATTGCCCCCACAAACTGGGTCCTCAATTTACCTACCTTAAAAAGGATGGAAGGCTGAGTCAACCTTGAGCCTGGCAAGATTCGAACTTACTTTAATTGCAGACAGCTGGAGTTAAATTACAATGCATTAGTCTGCTGAGCTATCCAGGCTCCATGACTTTTGAAGTCTCTCTGGGAGCAGCCTGGGCTTCTCAACTATGAAAAGAGTGGGGAGAAAAGGATCCCTTTCTTGGCCTTCCTCACTTGGTAACTTTTGGATGTGGGGAAAAGTGCGGGTTGACAACTCTTCCACTCTTTGTTGGCTGGACATTCTGGCAGCTGTAATACTGGGAAGGCTTGGAGAAAGCTGATTTAAGCTGGAGACACCAAAGAAAAGAAAAACAAACTACGATTAGGAAAAATGTCAGTGGCTTGTTAAGGCCGCTTGAAAATCCCCAAAGCATGTATATTAAAACCAGAAGGGGAGGGTCAGGGCCTTTTTAAGTTTGTGCATAAATATCTTGAATTGCTTCTAAGGAAATATCCAAACACACACAGACACACCCCTCCTTTCCACCACGTTGAGTTATGTAACTGGGTGTGGTACTCTTCAGAGCTAGCCTGCCTGTTTTGAAAAAGGTGCTACTGTGTTAGTGGTGATATATTTTTTTAATTAATCGAGTGGCACTTAAATCTGCCTGCTGCCATATAAACTTGGGTGGCTCTTGAAACTATGAAAGAAGAACAAGGAAGCTGCAGCTGATGTTTCTCCTTCACCTTCTGCGTATGATACTACTACCAATAAATAATAATAATATACCTTGAACACCTTCAAAGAACAGCACTCGCCTATCCCAGGAGAGCTTCCTCCAAAGGTGGGTAAAAATGCCAAATCGAATCTAGACATCTGACTGATTGGGTGACCACCATAATAACAATAATACTCTTTTTTCCCCCTCTAATAGTAATAGAAATGGCACAGGGAGGATTATTATTCAAAAAGCAGAAAGCTGTTCCATTGTCAGTGACATGGTATAGCACGAGACTGGGCAAAACTGCTGACTTGGGTTCTGGATGTGCTTGCTTTTTAGTTAGTTAAAGGGATCGCCCCATTTTTTTGCTCCAGTGGGTTCAGTTTTATAAAACAAGACTTTTCTGCTCCACGGTTTCTGGGATTTAAATCTATCTTCTACCTAAACCCACCTCCTCAGATGGGCTAGGACTGCGGCTTTCCAACTTGCCAGTGGAGCTTTAGAGAGGGGTTGATGGGGCCGACAGGAAGATATTAAATTGGCCCAGAGAAAAACAACATTTGAGGGTGGAAGCAGGGGTGAAATCCAGCAGGTTCTAACAGGTTCTGGAGAACCGGTAGCGGAAATTTTGAGTAGTTCAGAGAACCGGCAAATACCACCTCTGGCTGGCCCCAGAGTGGGGAGGGAATGGAGATGTTGCAATATTCTTCACGCAGGAGGGGAGGGAATGGAGATTTTGCAATATCCTTCCTCTGCCATGCCCACCAAGCCATGCCCACAGAACCGGTAGGGAAAAATTTTGGATTTCACCCCTGGGTGGAAGCAATGGGAGTCAAAATTCAGCTTATCTGGGAAAGGCTCTTGTTGGTTGGGAAAGGACGTCATGCAAGAAACCAAAAGAAAAATATGCTTTAATATTATTCATTTTATTATTTATTTTTGATCCCTTATTAGTTTTACAAATGACTCAAAACAGCAAACATACCTAATCTTCTTTCCTCCCTCCCATTTTCCACAACAACAACTCTGTGAGGTGGGTTGGGCTGAGAAGGACTCACCCAAAGTCCCCCAGCCAGATTTTATGGCTAAGGCGGGTGTAGAATCCAGTTATTATACTGCATTGTTGAGAAGAGGCTAGAGAATCCCAAAGAATTTCAGAAAGGAAACTCAAGATTGGTCTCCCAACGAATTGATTATTAGTGATACAGAATAATCACCTGTGGGTAGAATATAACATAACACCATAGAAAATACGGTGTAGATCAGGGGTCTCCAACCTTGGCAACTTTAAAACTTGTGGACTTCAACTCCCAGAGTTGAAGTCCACAAGTCTTAAAGTTGCCAAGGTTGGAGACCCTTGATGTAGATTTTTAAAAAAATCTTATCCACTGCACTTTTCAAAGCACTAAACTAACACTTTCTTCTTAATATTCTACTTCTCCATGAGTAGGACAGAATATAGTGTGTTTTCTTCTTTATATACTAGTTCTTCATGTGTAGGACAGAATGTAGCATGCTCAAACCAAGTTCAAGGATGAAGAAAAGGATTATATTTAAATGTATTTTCCCACCTTCGGACAAAGTTTGTACAGATTGTACCACTGATTCTCAACTCCTTGCATCTTTGCCTTCCACCTATCACTGCGATCAAAGAACCTGGATTTTGGCAGAGAAACTGGTTCTTCAGTGGGATTAGCCTGCCCCACCTGTGCAGGTAGAAGGGGCATGCTGCAGTGCAGACCAGGTCAGCCAAGGAATCTCAGCTGATGGGGTTCAGAAGTGCCTTTGCTGCCATAGCTCCTGCTCTCTGCAGTAGATCTGACCCATCCCATCCTTTTGGCTTTCCGAAAGGCCTTAAAGTTATGGCTATACCAACTGGTCTGTAGCCCCAGTGGGGATGTGGCACGTTGGAGGTGGCTGATGGAGTAGAAAACACCCCACCTCCTCCCTGTGTGCACTTTCCTCCCCCCCTCCCTCCTGCTTAGTTTTATTTTAACCGACTTTTAAAATTTAAGATCTTTAGTTATTGTTTTAATGTTTTATGCTGCATTCTATTCAATGTCTGCAAGCTGCCTAGAGTCACCTTTGCTGGGATACAAGATTAGGTAGGTAGGTAGGTAGGTAGGTAGATAGATAGGTAGATAGATGATAGATAGATAGATAGATAGATAGATAGATAGATAGATAGATAGATACATGTTCATTTTCCTCCCGATATACATTCATGTTTAATAATAATAATAATAATAATAATAATAATAATAATAATAATAATAATAATAATAATAATAATAATAATAATAATAATTTTATTTCTATACCGCCCTTCTCCCGAAGGACTCAGGGCGGTGTACAGCCAGTTTAAAAACACAAGACACAACAATAATTAAAAATTAAAATAATTAAATAGATTTGGCTGATTTAAAACTCTAAAAATTAAAATACCCCAATTTAAAATTATTATATTGACAGCCCTGCCTGGCGGAACAACAAGGTCTTCAATGCGCAGCGGAACACCCGGAGGTCGGAGATCTTGCGTATTTCCGGGGGCAGTTCATTCCACAGGGCTGGGGCTCCCACAGAGAAGGCCCTCCCCCTGGGTGTCGCCAGCCGACATAACTTGGCTGATGGCACCCTGAGGAGACCCTCTCTGTGGGAACGGACTGGTCGGTGGGAGGCTATTGGTGGCAGAAGTCGGTCTCGAAGGTATGTTTAAGTATCCCGTTATTATGTTATCCGTTACAGCAACTTTCGAGAGTTGATTCGAGTTTCAATTCTTTACCTTGTGGCTCGCCTGAACTGTTTCTGAGCCTTTCAGTGAGATGCATGCTGTTAATTAACAACCACTGGTCTACATAACAAGGTTGGCTTTTCCCAGATGAGCTTTAACAGAACTTTCGGTGGCCTTGGTCTTTGAATATTCTGTCTGGAGCATGTAAGATTTGACCCCAAAGCAGCTGCCCTCATAAGGCTGCAGGTCTGAGCCAATCTGGCTTTGATTATTTTACCCCATTACTTCAATTCAGACCGACAGTAATAGTCTTTGAAGATCTTTGCTGGTTCTTTTCTTGTTTTGTAGTGTTTCATGTTTCTTGGGAAGTGCCCGAGAGGTCTTTGAGAGTCGGGCTGTGTTCAAATTAAAATAAATAAATAAATGTGATTAGGATCATGGGAACGAATTAAGGCTTGTGCAAACATGTGGCTATATTGTTGATCTTTTAGCTCCCTGCAGCCTTGTTTAGAATGGGACATTATGAATCAACTCCTTTCCCCCCCCCAAAAAAAAACCTTCTTCTGGCTAGTTTCTTTCATTATAGCTGTTTTGTTAGGAGGTTGCTGATTGAACAAATACAGGCAGGCAAGCAGGCAAATCTGTGCTGATCTGGCTTTTCATGTCTAAAAGATATTGCTGTCCCTGTTTTATACTGAGAGGCTGTCACCTTTAGAGCCCTTCGTGGTTTGGGCTTGGATTACCTGAAGATCAATCTTCTTGTCATTTCTACCTGCCCAGTTTGGTCAGGCAGGTTGGGCCAGTTGCAGGTCCCCATCAGCCAAGGAATGTTGGCTGGCAGGAACTAGGAGAGGCGCCTTCTGTGCCATAGTTCTGTCCTCGGGGAGCCTTCTCCCTTCAGATATCAGCATGACCCCAAGCCTGTTCACCTTTCACAACATCATGGAGCCTCTTCTTTGTGTGCCCAGGCCTGGGGCCCCGTTTCTTGGCTGTATGACCATCCATAGTAACAGTTTTACTTGGTGCAGAGCAGGGGTGGGCTGCTGAGGGTTCGCAGGGGTTCCTCTAGCTAAGATTCTGTGCAGTTCGGAGAACCCCCAAATCTCACTCCTGGCTAGCCCCGCCTGCCTCACCCCTCCCAGGATTCCCCACGGGGCCCATTTTGGGTGCAGGTAAGTGCAGGGAGCTCATGGAGGCTCGGAGAGGGCGAGAAATGGACCTTCTGGAAGTTCAGGAGGTCCAGAAAGCCTCCAGAGCCTGGGGAGGCCATTTTCGCCTTCCCGGAGGCTCGAGGAGCCTCTGGAGCCTGGGGAGGGCAAAAAGCACACACACCCCGGCCTGGTACAGGAGGCTGACTAGGCCACGCCCACCCAGAGAACCCCTTGCTAACATTTTTGAAGCCCACCCCTGGCGCAGAGTATATTTGTTTGCTACTGTTTTAATTGCTCTTATGTTTTACGATGTATGCCACCTGAAGTCACTTGCTGAGATGCTGGCTATAGATCAAGAAAGATCCCAAGTAGGAAGGAACAAATAGCAGATGATGGGAGAGGCCAGGCCCCATATATCAGCATTGATGGCCCAGGCACCTTCTGGATGTGTGAGGACTACAGCTCTCCGAGTCAACCCTTGGTTGTGTTCCCAGGACACGCCTGGCCCCTAGATTTTCAGCTTTTGTGCGGAAAATGGGGTCATAAAGTAGTGAAAGGTGCTTGGTTTGTTTGGCTCACAGAGCTACAAGAAGCTTGAACGTTTGTTGCATTGCTAATAGTGCCCTCCGGTTGTTATCTTAAGCAGGTCCGGTCAGACAAAAAGTCAAAGCAGGAGGTAACGCTAATAAAGTCTTAGCACGAACGGCAATTGTATCTGCCGAGTCCTTCTCAACCAGGTTAAAGTCTGACCTGCATGGGCGTAACTGATGCTGATCGGCTTTGACCAGTTTTTTCCAGTGTACCAAGAAAGAAGGAAGGAAGGTGAATTTCGGAAGGGTCCGAGGGAGGAATTATGCAAAATACAGTACATGCCGTGTCTTTTTCTGAGTGTGTGAAGCAAAGAATGGGCATGCTTTCTTCATTAAAAAAAAAAGGGGGGGGGAGGATTTCACCACCCCCACTTCACTACTCTGTAGGGCAAAACCAGAGAATTGACCAGACCTGGTTAACTGGTTTTTATAACAACCAGAAGGCACCATTAGCTGTGCAGAAAATATTCAACTGCAGAAAATTCGCTGATTTTCAGTGCATAGGTTTTCTTGCTTGAGGGGGGGGACCCAAAATGGAATTGTTAGGACCTGTTTAAACCCACCCAGAAAGCTGAGTTCCCGACTCTCAAATAATCTCATTGCAACACCAGATCCAGCCAGTGGGTCCCCAGGAAACCAGATTTAAAAAAA